CTAAACCCTGAGCCCTAAACGACAAATCCTTAGGCCTTATAACTTAGATGGCACTCCCTAAACCCTAAACCCTGTGGGGTTTAGAGTTTCATAGATCGTCTTCGTTCGACATGTGCTGCGATACCTGGCGCTGGTAGGCTTTTCTGCCTTGCAAGGTCCAGAGCTCGGCAACCTAGTTGTTCTGCAGGGTGCCAGCATATCTAGCTCTAGATAGATAGATAGATAGATAAATAGACAGACAGACAGATAGATAGATGAGATAGATAGACAGTTGCATAGAGAGAGAGAGATAGATGGGTAGGTAGATAGATAGTTAGATTAGACTAGATCAGATAAGATCAGTGCGGATTAGATTAGGTTAGGTTAGCTTAGATTGAATAGATAGACAGATAAATGGATAGATAGATGAGATAGATAGATGCATAGACAGATAGATAGATGAGGTAGACAGATAGATAGATAGATATGTAGAAAGAAAGAAAGATAGATAGATAAATAGTTAGGTAGGTCGATAGACAGGTAGATAGACAGATTAGAGGAGGTTAGATTAGATTAGCTTAGATTAGATTGGATTTGATTAGATTAGAACAGCTTAGCTAGGTAGATAGATAGATATGTAGATAGATAGTTAGATAGATAGCTAGCCAGATAGATAGATGGATAGACCTGTAGGTAGATAGATAGGTAGGTAGAGAGATAGATCGTTTCACAGTTAGTTAGTTAGTTAGTTAGTTAGTTAGTTAGTTAGTTAAGTAGATAGGTAGTTAAGTAAACAGGTAGATCGATAGATGGTTAGATAGAGAGATAGACAGGTAGATAGACAGATGGATAGATCGACAGATGGATAGATAGATAGATCGATAGACCGATAGATAGGTAGATAGATTGATAGATAGACAGACAGACAACCGTCAACCATCTCTGTTTGCATATATATTTATATATGGATGCACAGATATGTATATACGTGTATACACATGATTGCATGTCTGTGTGGATGTACGTATATACATATGCATAGACATATATATATATATATGTGTATATATTTGTATGTAGTTGCTGTAAACTGTTCTACTTATTCAGGCTCCACATCTGTGTTCAGGTGGTGGGGCTGAAAGCATCGCAGCCCACAGCCCTAACACTAAATTCCAACTCCTTAAGCTTCCGTGTCTGGTGTTTCTGCAGGATTGGGGCTGAGTTTATGCTTCTTAGCCGGACTTGTTGCTTCTCAGTGTAGCTGCTGTAAGGTTTACCATACTTTTTGCTTTCAGTGAGTGAATGTATCAGTGCGATGAGGACCAGAGGTTACCTTCTAGAGCCGTTGACTGGTCAGTCTCGGGCTTGGGAGGTCAGGGTTTAGGGTTCAGGGGCTGAATTTACTTTTTAAAACTGATTAGTTGAGCTATTGATGTGTTTGATTTTTTATGTGTACTCATATATATATATATATATGTATGTATGTATGTATGTATGTATGTATTTATGTATGCATGCATGCATGGATTTATGCATGTATGTATGTATGTATGTATGTATGTATGTATCTATGTATGACATGTATATCCAGAGATGGATACTGTTTACATATATATATATACATATACATACACATTCATACTGGTACATATATCATATTGTGGAGTTGGAAGGGGCCAGCCCAAAAAGGCTACGGTACTTCAACCCCCTTCCGCCCACGCCTCCGAAGGTTTACTAAGGCCTTTAAAAGGAAGCATGATACCCTAGCCCCCTCGCCCCTACTATAAAAGCCTCAATCATTACCCATATTATTCCTTAGGTTTTTATACTTATAGTATACTTATTCCTCAGGTTTTTATACTTATAGTATACAGAAGCCCAAAGCCATGTTTTAAAATTCTTGAGGCCCTCACATTAAACCCTAAATTCTAAACCGGAGGTCTCGGATTCCACTATAAAGAGCCCAAAACCCTATTTTGTAATTATGAAGGCCCCTACATTACCCTAAGCCCTAAACCCTCTTCTAATTATGAAGGCCCCTACATTGCCCTAAACCCTAAACCGCTAAACCCTATTGAAACTATGAAGGCCCCTACATTACCCTATGTCTAACTATGAAGGCCCTTACATTACCCTAAACCCTAAAATACGGTCATGCAGGATTTTGTCCATCAACAGTACGAAGTACCCCCGCCCAGGAGCCATGGTCAAGGCACCGGGGCCCAGCTCTGGCCATTTGGGGCTTGGGATCTACGGTTTAGGGTTCTGGGTGTCGGGTTTCGGGTTTAGGGATCTGGGTTTTGGGTTTAGGGTTCTGGGTTTGGGGTTTGGGGTTTAGGGCTCTAAACCCTAAACCCAGATTTTGAGGGTGTAAGGGTTTGGGGCTTGGGTCTAGGGTCTACGGACCAGGGTTTAGGGGTTAGGGTTAAGAGTTCAGGCTTTTAGAGTTCTTGAGTTTCTGAGTTCTAGGGTTCAGGGTCTAGGGTCTAGGGCTCTAGTCTAGGGTTCTGAGGTTCTCGGGTTCAGGGTTTAAGATTTCAGGGTTTCTATGTTTTCCAGTAGATCCCTGACAGCCTTCGATATGGGACTCTCCGAAAATTAGGGGTACCTTATTTGGGGGTCCTTATAATAAGCATCCTACTATTTAGGGTACTATATTAGGGTCCCCTATTTTCGGAAACCCCCATATTTGGGTCCTTCCTGACAGCGATCATGGGGAAAGGGTCCCCTCTTTCTGATGGTGCTGCCGGAAAATGCAGCTTCCAGGGTCCAGGTTTCAGTTTAGACCCAAAGGGTCCAAAGTACCTATATAGTAGAATGTAGGGTTTTTATATTAGGAATTGTTATCATGATTTGGGAAAGTATCCCCCATAACAGTACCTAGGACCCTTTGGGAGAATAAGTTGGTCTACGCTAGAACAAAGAGAGCCTGCCATCCATTCGGGCTTTCGCTGGATCTGAAATTACCTATGGCTGTGGCACTTAAGGGTCGTGGCACGTGGGTTTAGGGTGTGTGTCATGAATCGTCGTCGTAGTAGTAGTAGTAGTAGTAGTAGTAGTTGTTGTTGTTGTTGTTGTGGTTGTAGTAG